TACTCACACGCAAACAGCCACACCCACCCACACACGCACATACTTCCATACACACAAACACACACTCACATACGCACACTCACACACAGACACACACTTCTAAAATGCTGCTTAACAAGGAAAGATTTTTTGTTCGAAATGTAAAAAACTAGAGAATAAAAGTTACAAAAATAATTAACTATGCAAAAATAGAGGAAAAAAGTCATATATATATAACTTGTGTTCAGTATTATGTTCGTTATTTTTGTTTATTTAATTTAATATTTTTTGTCACACTTTGCCTTAGTTATTCGACTTTAAGTTCATTTGCTGAGCGTCTTGCAAAAAATACCACAAACACACAAAGAAAAGATATCTTTAAACAGTTTTTTATACGGAAAGTAAATTGCATTAAAAATCTATAAATACTTAACTTAATACATGATATATTAGACAACTTTTTATATAGCAACTTTTGTATAAACTGTTTTTTAGTCCAACCACAAAACATATATAAAACTGAAATCTGAAATCTGAATAATCTTTTGTGCAATACTAATATATTATGGGATATCATATAAATAAATGAATATATATGTTAATTGCGTTATATATATTAAAGAAATTTGCAAAGCGCATAACCAAAACTTAGCTTTTAAAAAATACCAAATTAATACCAAAAAGAAAAGTACACAGAAATAATACTATATTTGCGAAATATCAAAGCAATATTTCTGTAAAAAAAGTTGTATAATTATATATATATATATATATATGCATATAAACTCGATTCTCAACTTGAACATAGCTAAAAAAAATTTTAAATATGTAGAAAAAAATAACAAAAAAATTTAGTGAAAACTAATTTAGTTTCCAATTTATATACGAAAATGTTTTTGATGCATGTTTAAAGAGCGGAAACAAAAACCAAACGAAACAAAATACGATATTTTTTCTATACTACAAAAAGAAAAATACTAAAAAAATTATTAAACAAGCTTTGTGGACTTTTAAATGTTTATGTATATTAAACGATAGTCAAATCTATTAGCAAATTTTTGCTCGCGCTTTGTTTACATCAAAATGAAAATGAATATAACACTAAACGAAATCTTAATAATAAAATACTTTCAACAAGAAGAGGCAACAGTAATGGAAATTAATAGCAATTTTCTAGAATTTTTATATTTAAAAACAAAAACAAATGACACGGTATATATATATATATAACTCTATATACATATATGTACTATATCTATATATATATATTTTTGAAACTGAATAATTAGTGAACTTGAAGCGTTTGTTTGTTTAAAAAATAAATAAAATAAAAATTGTTAGCAAATTAAAATTAATTGTATTTAAAAAACAAAACAAAACAAAGAATCTAATCCAAAAACAATTTGCAGCCTGTTTTTTGTAGTGTAAAATGTTTTAATATTATTAACAATGGAATATACTGAGTCAAGAAATGCTAGTCTGTAAACTGATGAAGACAAAGAAGTAGTAAAAAAAAACAGTGTTGGTAAAGGTCGAAAGTGGAATGTTTTTTTAACTGTAGTAAAATTCAATATTTTATAGATTTTTATACTTTTATATAAATTTATATATATATATATATATGTATATATATATATATATATGTATATATATATATACTTTATACTTTAACTGTTACAAAAATCTACATAAATACGCTATGACAAAAATATTTTACATATATACTACTGAAGGAAATAAAACCAAAAAAATAAAATAAAATTATAAACATTTGAAGTCTTTGAAGAAATTTGTAAGCAAAACGCTCAATGTTTAACTGGAATGTTTTAGCATTGCTATCAATTGATTTAAGCAACATTTTCTTTGTTATTTAAGTATTCCACAAAAAAAAAAAAGATAAAGTATGAGAATGAGGAAGACGACGAAGGAGAGGAGAAGGAAGAAGAGTCAAAGACATTTGCGTTTAGAGCATCTTTTGATACGCCCTACCGTATGTTTCTGTTTTTATTCTTACTTTGTTTTATATACAAGTTTTGTTAGAGGTGTACGTATACATACGGATGTCAGTGTTCTCTTTGATACATATATTATTATTTTTGTTATATTTTGTATGCCTAGCTCTTAAATATCTGATATATATTTATATATATTTTTATATGTTTTGTAGTTTGTAGTCGCTTAGTAGCTTTAAACAATTGCGTTCTCACACACACACACACACACACGTCACAGTGTTACACTTTTTTAACTTGTTTTTATATTTTCTACATATATATATGTCTGAAGTATGTTTATAAAAGAAAATATTTGATATATGCAATTTATACAAAGAACCTTTTTGCTATTCTGAAAAATAAACGAAATCCGATTATATTGTGTTTTTTATTTCTATTATTAATATTAGTGTTGTTTTTATTTTTGTATTAACTATAAAGTATTGTAAATACATAAATAAATAAAAAATACTTTTACGATATACAAAAACCCAAAAAAAAAAAGACTACAAACACAAGTATTGGAACTCGAACTTATTATTAAATATTTAAAGCCAGGAAAACAAAAAATATTTGAAAATAAAAATCGAAAAAAAGAAATATATGAAATTTACACGTAGTACAATTGATGAAATTTATAAAACGTAATATCTATTGTATTTTTGAAGAAGACAAAACTTGAAAATTTGCTTCAAGAAATTGCTAAAAAGAAACCATATTAAAAAACATAAATATATAAATAATAATTACATAAACAAGAAACTCTGCTTTGTTTACATAAAACATATATTTAAATATAAATAAATTGGCATTGAAAATAATAAATAAAAGCAAAAAAAACAATTTAAAGTAGCAAGGAAACCTTTAGCTCCTATAATTTTTTTGTTAGTAAATCAAATTTTTAGTATTTTTTGAGTATTTTCATAGCACAATTTTTATGTACAGAATTTCGTTTTGTAGCTAGTCTAAAAGAAAAAAGAAAAACAAACAAAATCAAACGCAAAACTTTTAAATAGAAAATTTTTAAAGAAGACCCAATTAACTTTCAAATTGAATTCTAATTGGAAAGCGCTTCGATCGACAACAAGCAAAAAGAAACCAAAAAGAACAAAAAAGCAAAACAAAACAAGGTTATAAACAATTTGGTACCTTTTTAAACTTATTACAAGAATTTTATAACTGATGATTGATTGGTTGATTGATTGATGTGAAAAAGTAGCCTGTAAAGCGATTTGTTAAGCGTCCGCTCTTCCATTTTTTAATTTTTGTAAGATTTAGTCCTTCGATCTAACTAAAAATTGAGCGCCCTTATTAATGAATTCCTTTAGCTAAATATTCAAAAACAAAAACAAAAAACTAAAAAAGCGAAAAAAATACAAGCAAGAGCATATAATTTTTTAGCATTATACAAACCAAAAGTATAAATAAAAATAGTAAAACCTATATATATATATATATCTATATATATATATATATATAAACTATAAAGTAAACCAAATAAAAATAATTATATACAATAATATTATATATATATATATATATATCTATATGTATATATGAAAATTTAGCAAAATATTCCATATTTTATAGTCATTTTCAATAAACGTAAAATTTTTTAATTTTTACAAAATTAAAGTTGACAAAAGAAAAGAAATAAAACGAAAAAAAAACATTTGTAGTTTTCTAAATACTGAAACTCTCGATTTCCAATCATATTTTGCCTCCAAACGACGTTCTTCGATCGATATTGAAAAACAGCTAAAAACAGTTAAATGTTACAAAGAAACAAAAATAAAAAGTAATCTTCAAATAGGTTATATAACTAGAGAATCCATGGTAATATATACATACATATATATATATACATACATATATATATACATACATATATATATACATACATATATATACATACATAGCTCCAATTAAATGAAAACCAACTCGAAATCGAAATCGAAACTACAGAATATATCAGCAGTAATACAATGCAATATTATGAAACAAAAAAGAAGAGAAAAACCGAAAAAACCAAAAAAATAATTAATGGAAATATGTAAAACCGTAACGAACTACGATTATATACACAAAAATATATTCCAATAACTTTTCTAAGGCAATCCCCAGAACGAAAAGGGCGCCCAAAAACAAAAAAATATATATATAAAAAATAAAAAGTAAAAAATCAGACAGGTTATATAGAACAAATGGAAAACAAAACATATATCTTCATTCAAATAAATAAAAATAACTTTTCTGGAATAATTAACAAAGTGTATTCAATAATTGTATCTGGATAATGTTTAAAATCGGGGTTATACTGGGATGTATTGCTGCTCAATTCGTCTGACGGCTTGAATGATAATTTGTATATATTTTTTTTATTTGATAAGTAAAGCTTCTAAAACCAGAATTCCATTCATTTTTATCACAAGTTTTAATGATAATATATTTCAAATAAATTTTTAGAATAAGTGAATCGCACCTGAAGCCTCTCATGCTTTAAAACAAACCTCAGCTTGGCACTTGAGCTTGGAGTTAGCTTAAGAGTTTGATTTAGAAGCCAGATTTTAATTTAAGCTTTAAGCTTATTCTTTGAGTTGATTGAAGTTCCTATGAACAGACAATTAATTAGCTTCTAAAACTGATGTAAAATTTTCTATATAAAGTTCAAGAAGCTTATTTAAAAGTCATTAACACCTCGCACTAATTTTTTATGAGGCATCCAAAGGTGCTAAATACTTTCACCTCAATTTGTTCGAAATTGTGACCTGATTAGGAAGAGAGAGGCTTAAAATATACTCAAACTATAGATTTTGCGCACTTTTTGCTCGAAATTTTATTATCTATTGTCTGTAGCTAAGACACAAGATTAAGATTAGAGCTTCAGCTGCTCTGCTTTGCTGGTATTATGTAGCTTAGTTATAGTTTCGAGTACCGAACATAATAATTGTGTGCCTTAGCAAGCAAGTGAATCTTTTGAATAGTTGACATGTTTGTATTAAAATTTGGACGCTTATACATTTTCAGATCGGGCAGCATTGAGGGAGTATCGCCGACCACGAGTGGTCCCAATTTGATATCGACGCTGTCTAGCAGCGTGACAGCTGCTGCTGGTGGCAGCGGCACCGGCACCGGCACCGGCACCGTCATTGACAGCGGTGCCGCTCCAGTTGGCACCTGGAAGCTAATCAAGGGCAAGGTCTCGCAAACTATCGAAGAGATTAAATCGTCCAAACATCATCAGCCGCAGCAGCACACGTCAAGTGTCATTCCAGTTATTGTAGCTGAGCCGACGACAACAGTTGGCTGGACCAACGACGCGGACTCCGACACGGAGTGCATAACGATCAATACAACAAGCATTGCCGAGGAGGTCGCTCTCGTAGAGAAGCAGCACAACTCTGACTCGGATCCAGAGATTGAGCTGGTAGACAGCACTTCCCTGGGAGGCACCGACATTGGTGTTTTGCCTGTTGCCATTTCAACAGAGCGGTCGCGCTTGCGACGCGGCATTGCACACATCAAGTCTCGGGTGAAGGCCAAGCAACAAGCCGCTATGACTAAGAAGGACCAGGGCACGAGCACCAGTTCCGATTATGTACGTGGCAGCTTTCTGCGACGTCGCAATCCACCCGAAGACCAAACTGATCAAGCCAAGACGGCGCAGGACAGCAGCAATGCACCCGAAATACCTGTGGTCTGTGGGAAGGCAAAGCGTGGTATTTTGCTTGCTACCAAGGATGCGGAAATCGAGTCTGGCGTTGAGATGCTCGAGGACATGGCGCCCACAACAAGCGCAGCAGCCAATTCAACAGCGCAGCCAGCTGGAAGTGTTCAGTTCAATGATGATCCTGTCACTAAGCGACGAAGTGCATTAGAGTTGCCTTTGACAAATGACACGCTCTCACAGGCCTCACTGCAAACCAATTCGATATCTGCCCGGAACCAAGATGGTCAAGAGGCGAGTTTCAGCAGTAGATTCGGTATTGGTACTGCAGCTCGTCCCCTCCTGTTTTTGGGCGCCAGCGTAATTGTGGTGCTGGTGTTGCCAATTAAAGATTTTTGGCGGGGCGTCCTAGCCAGCACATTGTTCATTGGCACGATCAATTACTTGAGCGTCTATATACGGTATGTGGTTGACACTCTGCTGTTTAGCACACATCCGGAGCGTCGTCCTTTCCAGATACCCAACTATGAGGGTATGCCCATATGTGAAATACCCGCCGCCGAGGAGCACAAGACCATCAAGACATATGCGGGTTGGATGAATGAGTGCGACAGCTATGATCCCAGTACGTTTTCCGTCTCCATGACCAGGGCAGTCTATGTACGACTGGATGGCACTGCCTTGAAGATCTCTAGCACCAATGCGCGCATACCCAAGCGCCGCATGTGGAACGAGAAACCCATCGATCGCTCCAAGATTGTATTTGTCGATCATCGATCTTATGATATGCGCGACGCACGCCTCGAGCTATTACCCGTGGGTCTGGCCAGAAAGCGGTGAGTAGACACCTTAAGGAAGACCTAAGGGATTTTAGTGCAAGGATTCCGCTCTCTGCGTTTCCAGTTGCTCATTTAAGTGCTTTACCTTTGCAGCTTCTTCAATCGCAAATATCCCATACAGTTGATCCTCAATAACGCCGGAAGTACCATGCAAACACCAGGGGATGATGACGATACTGCGGATACTTATCCCACTACATTTCCTTCGACACCCAACCAGGTTAATGAAACCATCAAACCTCTCGAGTTTGCCAATACAGTTATGTTAGCTGATGTAGGTCCAAGTGTACCACTAAAATTTATGTAGCTTCATTGAATATATTTGCTTTGCAGCTACGTCAGCTTCATAGAGTTCGCACACCCGATAATGACTTGAAGGATATAACCATGCCATGTGGCGATGAGGTACGCCTGATTCTTTTTGCGCGTTGCGATCGGGAGAAGGAGGATTGGTATCGTCGCTTCCGGGCCGCTAGTCGTGGCTACGTGCACGAATCAGAGCTGCAGGTACCCATGACACAATTTGTAGAAGAAAGCGATTTGCAGGCAGTCGCCGCGCAACAGGCCATTAATCTAACCAAGGGCTCTAAGGTGAGCTAGCGATCTTACCGAGTTCTGCTACTTTGTTAATCGAATCGAATTGTTTTAGAGCAATATACGTTATAGGGAAAGCGATGAAAATTCACTGATGTCCAATGAAACAGGCACCACTACGCCCGATGTCATGGAAGAGACATTAGATGTGGATGCATCGCCCGACCCCGATAACGAGGGCTATGAAGGCCTCATCATGAGCGCTGATGTGGCCCGAAATCCGGCGGATTATGTCAAATTCATGGCGACTTACCAGGTAGAGCCCTATTGACCACGCCAAGCTGCCCTCCTTTTTGTTGTGTCACTTCTTCGTTTCGATTTTGATTTCCATATGAGTTTTTCCTTTATCATTTCTATCTTAGAGAGCTTGCACTCAAAGTACAATTCCTGTCAAACGTCCGCACAATCACAGACACGGAAGTCACCATAAAAAAGTAGGTTTCGATTTTTATTTGCTTTATTTAATCTAGTTTTAGATATACTATTGATGTTATGGCAGAGTCCGAAGTCTTAATTTCTTGCTACCTTTGCAGAACCGAAGGTCTAGGCGGCAGGAAAACGAGTTATGGAAGGGCATAGATCAATCTCTCTTTCTGGGCCCTTCTGGCAGCGTGGTCTGGGCGAACGTGCTGATGGGTCGCTGCCTCTTCAGTTGTCTACATAACAATGAACTTCGCCTCAAGATACAGGAATTTATGCAAAAGAAACTGAATTCCATAAAGGTCAGTTGTAAGCACTGCAATTTCCGGGATTTCTGTCTCTGATCTCTGTCCGTTTTTAGCTGCCCAGTTTCATGGAAGAGGTGGTCATAACCAATATATATTTGGGTGAATCACCAATGCTGTTCCATCGCATATCGCAGCCAATGCTGGATGAGCGCGGTGTTTGGCTGGATGCGGATATCACCTACGAGGGCTTCGCCAATATTACAGTGACCACTAAATTGAATTTGTTGCGCGTGCGCAGCAAACCAAAAGCATCGCCGCTCAATCCGGATGCAGCAGCACAGGATTTAGCAGGGGAATCACGCGGTGCTCCCGACGATGCTCAACAGGATGGCAGTCAGTCGATCTTTGACAGCGATGCCGAGAGCACGGGTGGCTCCTCAACGGAAACGGAGAGTATGGCATCGGGCGCAACTGTGGAAAATACAAATAATGCCGAGTAGGTGCCAACAACCAGTAATCGTATATGAACATCTAAAACCGTTCTCTCTTTCAATATTCTCAGGTTCTTTCAAAATTCGCCGGGCAATGCTCGTCGCATCTTTAAGATTGTGGATCGTATAGCCACGTCGAATATATTCCAATATGCCTCAGAGCTGCCGTACGTCCAACGAGCCATGGAGAATATGAGTGCGAATATTACGTTGCGGGTGGATCTGAAGGGCTTGGTGGCAAGAGGCACATTGAATATACCGCCACCGCCATCAGATCGCATCTGGATGTGCTTTCGAGGTCCGCCTCGTCTGTGGATATCGACGAAACCGCAAGTGGGCGACAAGTCAGTGGATTGGTCCATTGTAACGAATGTGATTGAGAGCAAGCTGTGCGAGGCAGTTAATAAGTTTTTAGTCTATCCCAATATGGTCGATTTTTCAATACCATTCCTGGCCAAGCCGAACTATGGCGAAGACCTGCCTGCTTAGTTAACCATAGAAATGTTTGTTTTATTATTTGGCCCCCACAATAATAATAAATGTAGACATTTTCTAAACGTATTTCAAGCTGAATTGAACACAACAATGTGTCTAAACGAATTTTACGGGCTTAGCTTTGGTTCCGATCTCGCTTAAGTGTTTTACCATATAAATGTACTTAACGATAAATTCCAAATATTTATTCCTAAAAACCTGATCTTTTATCTCATAACCACCAATTATATATATATATATATATATATATATATATATATATATATATATATATATATATATCTTTATAATTATTTTTGTACACATGCTGAAGATATGATTTCTTTTGAAGATCTGTTTAAGGAACATACGTTCTTTCCAACTATTTACGTATAGTATTCAAAGTTATGTATTTAAATACTTACGGATATATATATATCTTTATACTGCAACAACTACATATTTATAAATATATTCTGCCTAGTTCCTTAAGTCCATTCCAAGCTAATTTTTAAGCATGCGTGTGAATTTTAACTGCTTAACCGTAAGCTAAGAAAAATCGAAGATTTTGATTCTTTTTTATACATTCATAAAGTAAACATACGATTTAAACCGGGTGTGGAACATATACAGATGAGCCAAAGTATAACTATTCCGAACATGAACAAATAACTATTATATCATTTACAAGGTTGGTCGAACAATGCAGAGGGTCGTTGTAAATTGACCACTTTTCCAAAACAAAACTGAACAAAATATAAAAGCTAAGCTATAATATAAATATATATATATATATATATATATATATATATATATATATATATATATATATATATATATATATATATATATATATATATATATATATATATATGTATATATATATGTATATCTATATATATATTTTATGTAAATGTATGAACAATAAATAAATAAATGGCTATTAATCCATTAATTCGTTGTGACTTGCTTAACTTGGGAAAAACTGAAATTAATTTTGATTCTACAGCTAGATTTTAAGATCTTTATATACTTCACTAGAGTATATTTACCAAGATAAGTATCAGTCACTCTTAGTTTTCGAATGAAAAATAATTTTCAAAATGCATTTAGCTTTTATTGGATGTTTCGTTTATTTAATTTTTTTTATTAGTTTTTTTTTTTATTTCACGTTAAGAAATTTACATTTTAAATTTGTTGTATTTTGGAATTTATTTTCCCTGGATTTGTGTTCTTTTTTAAATATAATTTTTCAATTTTCAGTTAGGGGATTTCACTTGCTTTCAAAAGTACATTAAGTAAACTACAGACATACGTGTTTATAATATGCATTAATAATAGTTATATATATATATATGTATATATACATATATGTATATATATATATATAATGTACGTGTAAATATGCATACATATATATATATATATATATATATATATATAAATATATATATAGAATTCAAAAATGTACAACATTCATTTTTTAACAAAAAAAAGAGCTAAACACGTTGATGTTTCGCGTTTACTCAATACGTAGTTAAAAACTTGAATATAGCCATAGCAAACAACTAAAATTAGAACTTAAATATATATTTATGTATATATTTATATATATATATATATATGAAGGACTTACGATCTAATACACAAAGTACAATATTTCAATGTTCACATCGATAAGATGTGTTTCAAAAATTTTCAAATATTTCGTTTTCATTTTTGTTTTTATTATATTTCTTGTGATGCATTTGAGTGGCTTTTGCTGCTTGCTTCCTCTGCGAAGAGTTAGTTTTGCATACATGTTTTAAATGAAATATTACTAAAAATTATTACATATATATGTATGTATGTATGTGTGTGTGTGTGTGTGTGTGTGTGTGTGTGTGTGTGTTAGTGTGTGTATGTATGTATATAGTAGAATACTACTTAAGAACTAAAACTGCTATCAAAACAGGTTTTTATTTCGTTTCCTTCACAAATAAATATGCGTAGCAATATTTTCAATTTTTGTTTTTCTTTTCTTTAGCATTTTCTCATAAAAACGTTTTCCATTTTTTCAATATTTTCTGAGCAACATTTCTAGCAAAGTGATTAAATATTTTTGTTTAACTATCGTTTCATTATTTCATGTTTTCTTCTTTTTATTTTTTTTTAGAGTAAAAGTTGGTTTTTCTTTTTGTTTTCTTGTGTGAGGGCTGGGAAATGCATTTGAAGTTCTTGAGCACAACTCAATGTTCGTTAGGGTTTGTTGTTGTTTTATACTCTGCCATTCACTGTCTTGGTTTAATCAGCATGTCCTGTTTTATGTTATGTTTGGCTAGTCTAAGCAGAGAACTCAACTTACAGACGCATATCGTCATATTTGGCAAATGCTTTGCATAGCGCAAAGGCGAGTATGACCAGAACCAGGTGGGCAATGCCTGCGATGATGACGCCAATGATCAACTCCCTTTGCCGTATCAACCACTCAGTGAAGACCTCATAGCAGCCCTGCAATGAGATCAATATATTAGCTAGCAACTCTAGTGATCTGCTCAGCGTTGGCCACTCACCTTCTTATAGAAACTGTTGCTATCGCTGGGATTGGTTGTGCAGTCCTCGTCGCGTGGCACCAGCTGCGCAACGTCCTTCAGCATGCAGCAGGCGTCGGGAATGGTGCGATTGCCTTTGGTGTTCTTCCACGCCTCGGACTCGTCGAAATCATGATAGTCATTGACGCCGCAGCAGCCAAAGTTGCCCATCAGCTGGTTCCACATCAGCGAAGTGGCATCCATATTCTCGCCCAGCGTGTAGCTCGTGATTGTTGTTTGCAGAAACTTTTTGCTCTCGCTGCGCACACGCTCCTTGTAGAAGATGGCCAGGCCGCCGGCCACCAGCTCGGCGACCAGCAGCAGTATGAGAAAGGTGCCGTACTGTTGACAGAAAAAAAGAACCGCAAAACAGTGTTGGTAAATGCTTAAGAATGCGCATATTACGCATACGCCACGCTGACCCAATTTACACACAGATATATGTAGGCGAGTCGTGCGCATTGCATACAAAAAATAAAACTGACCCTGAGCCAAATGTGCAGCATGCGTTAGATACCAGCACACACACAGTCAAACACAGAGTCACACATACACACACACACACACATATGTATTTATGGAGATGTGCGCTGCAGGCCGCGCTGCCAATCTTAAATGCTGAAGGTCAATTCGAAATGCTGCTATGCATGTTTTATAAGCTCTCTTTGCTTTTAGCTGCCGCTGTTGTCGCGATGGTTTCGGGCTGATAAAGTTCCATGTTCCGCCTGGCAGCATTTGCAGCTAATGAATCTATCTCAATGAATACAGCTAAAAAAAAGAATGGCCCAATCTGTTCAGTGTGCCATGCTGCAGTTTATCATTGAGCATTTATTGCTTTTATATATTTAACATCGACTCGCAAATGGCATTTTAAAGAGACTCGCGAGACTCCGGAGTGGTAATTGGCGCACTCTCTAAAAATAAGCAATGCTAAGACAGCTTTGGCCATGCTCAGCCACGCCGGCCTTGCCCTCGCTTCAATTACTGCAAATTGCGCTCAATTTTGTGCATACAGATTTCTCAAATTTTTCAGAGCATTTCAAACGAAGGGCACAAGCACTTCGTACGCATGTGACACCCACAATTAACTATGGCCAAGCCCCAAGCTAAGTCTAGCCCCGTTTATAAATAGTGTGTAAAGTACGCGTAATGGCCAAGCCAAGCCAAGCCAAGTGATAAACTGTTTATTAATTGCCGACACACGACGAGCTCTATCGTAGAAATTTCTTTTAAGGTTGGGCCCTCAACAGATATATAGATATCTAGATATACATATACATAGATAATATAAATGTTCATGTTTATTTGTTGCTCAGGTGAAATTACAATTCCAAGCACACAAGTTCAAGTACAGACAGAGTCAAAAGTGAAGGGCTTGTCACGACACTTGTTCAGCGGCTGAAAACACGTTCCGAAATGGAAATGCCAGATGTTAAGATCAGCGAGAAGAAGGCCTACAACATGTGTGTACCCACAACTGCCGCAACTTTCACTGGGTGCCAAACGTTTTTCCAGACAACTGACAACTGCCATGAAAAGCCAATAACAAATGTCTTAAGCTATGAAAATTCACAACTCGTTTCAATAAACGTGCAATGAATAACAATTTTTGTGTTAAATGTCTCCCGCGGCGCCAATCTTGTGATGCAACAGCTCAGATTGGGCAACAGCTGAGATGAATGTAGCTACGTCTGTGGCTGTATATCTGTATGTCTATGTTACTCTGTTACTCTATTAGAATTGTATATGCAGCTGCGCAAATACTGTATCTGTATGTCAATATATGCATATATCTGTATTTGCATCTTTCTATCTGAACTGACAGAGACTTTGCTTATCTGTAGGGGTATCTCTGAGTTACTCATAGCTAAGCTGCTTTATCTTTAGCCGAGTATCTTTGAATCCTGGACTATTGTATATTCGAGATATTGTGTCTATATCTGTTTATGTGATTTATCTTTTACTCTTCTATATTTGAAATACTGTTCTACAAATTATCTATATCTGAGTTTCTGAGTATCTTTTTATATTCTATAGTTGAGATACTGTTCTGCGACTGGGATGCTATATCTGTCTCCCTATATAAAAATAAGTATGTATCTGTATCAATTGACTTGAATAAGAGTATCTCAGTGTCTGTATCTATATATCTTTGTATACGTAAAAATATATATCTGAGTCGTTATATGTGAATCATTGGTTATATATATGTTTATCTATATCTATGTATCTAAATCCGTGTAGTTTTTTTCTTTATCTGTCTATCTGCATCTGCATATTTGTGCTTCAGCTTATCTATATCTATCTTTAATGTCTCATATAATTGTATCTACTACAGTTGTCAAAAGATACGGCATCTGTATCTATATCACTCTATCGATTTCTCTCCTCTGCTTATTTTACAATAACATCTAAACACTTACCGTGGAGAGTAGACAGCGAGACTCACGCATGGCGCCCAAATAGCCCAAGAGGCTCAAGAAGAACATCACGGCTCCGATGACGAGCAGTACGTAGGCCATTTGCTCTATGACCTGAGGCTGTGTGAAGTGCTAAATGAAAAGAGAACAAGCGAATGATGAAGAAGAGTTTGTCAGTATTGCGAGAAAGGTTGGGCATGATTGAAATGGAATTTGTAGTCAGCCACTCGTCGGCCTGTATGTAAATGCATAGGCATGCGTACAATGCGGCGTATACGTAATTGTAATTAACCTTTCGACTGGCGCAGCTTTCGCAACATTTGTAATTAAATTAAATAAAGTTATCCCAACCAATTGACACACAAATGACAGCTACGACATACTTAAGTGCTCACCAAAGAGCGTGTGGGCCATAAATATCGAAAATATCTATAAAACGAAATTTGAATTGAAAGTTTCCGTCAGAGAAACGCAGTTCATTGACCAAAAATGTGCAACACCCACGCACTGCCGCAAGAGTTCAGTCAGTCAATTAGCCTTTGGACATGGTTTCAATTGCAGTTTCTCATTAGCTAAACGTTCAACTAGGACATGCACTTTGCTTGCCTTTGCATTTGTTTACTGTTCCTACCAACATTCTGTCAATGTAGGTTGATTAGTGACTCGAACTTTCGTTCAATTTGTAGCTGTGGTTGCCGCATGACATGCAACTGCGCAGCAGAATTTACCACTGTCAATAAGTCAGGCTCTCTCTTTCTCTCTCTCCCTCTATATATACCAAAGTCGAGTATTTCAAATATTTCATTGCTAGGTAGATTAGCTATGCAATTTCTCTAATGAAGGCTAACCAGAGAGCTTATCTCTTTTCATTTCTACTCCCATCCGCAGGAATGTTTGCAATTCCTATGTCACGGAAATTGCGGTTTATAGTGCTTACCAAAAGCTTAGCTCGCAATGCATTGTAATTATAATTAAAGGTACTTTTCTATACTATTCATTGCAATTTCCATTTTAAAACTAGAGCAATATAATGTAAATGTGCCTAAATACCTTTTATTTACTACCAAACTGTAGGCAGTTTATAAGAGAATTATATATATAAGGTTTGGGTTGAAGCTTTAATTGAAAGTTATTCACGTGTTTCATTAATTTCAAATCAATCTTTAAAAGCCCTCAAAGACTTTAGATTTAGTAAAATTGGAATTCGATTAACAACGTTTTGCACATATGAAATTTGCAGATAAAAATCATTTTAGAATTATTATTATTATGCTCGATTTACTCTAGAGTTTGCTCAATAAAAATGGGCCTTAATAGAAAAATGAAATTAAAAAAAAAATAAATAAATAAGATAGCTTTAAGTTTACTTATAGCGAATGCCTTAGACATAATTGGAATGTCTCAGCAACTATTTGAATTATACCAAAGTTATACTAAAATATTGGCCTCAATTTAGTATAAAAAATTCGTTTGATTTTGTTTCGGTAAATCGCTTAAATTAAATTTATTTAATTTGCTGACGAAGATGTCTCCTAGTCAAGCATTACTAAGCTCTTTTCCGTTCTATATTAAAACATATATTTATAGCTAGCTGCACTTTAATTACCCAGAGCTATTCTGTCTAATTTTCCATTGGGGCAATGCCAACAATTACTCTGCACGTGATGTTGTTTGGGGACTATGCAATTAGATTTGAGCTATACAAATAGATTGATATATCCTATATTTGGGGTTGGTTTTTTGACATGCAGTTCGCTCGCTTATTAAAAATAAAAGTAGGTAATAATATTATGATTGGGGGAGGGGGCTTCCTTCTCTTAGGGGGTTTTTCTTTTATTGGGGTGTTTCCCCCGCGACTTTCACCTGGTATTGCTTGTGAGCACTTACCTCAATGCGTTCGCTCTCGACGAGCTTGAGCAGAGCAATCAGCGAGTGCTTGTCCACGGCCAGCCATAGTCCAACTCCGAATATAATTGTGCCTAGCACCTGCAAGATATCAAAAAAGGTGTTCACAGGTAATTCACAGTATGGAAAAGTAACCCTCCGCTTAGCTTGGCATGCAAATTGTGAGCATAAAACACTGAGCGTACACAAAACATGATTGTGTTTATGTTGCTCGGTCATGTTGATTGCATTTCATGTTGTTCATGATTATGACGATAAACAACAACAACAACAACAGCAGCAAGAGCAAGAGCAACAATTGCTGGAAGTCAATGAACCGCCACATAAATGTGGAAAAAACTGCGCATGCGCAGAGATTTGCTTGATTGACTGAAGCCGCGCCTCCAAACGCAACAATTTGCAATGCAATTTAACCAAAGCTCCAGCAGGGAGCGTGAGCGAGAGACAGAGATAAAAATACAAAAATTAAATAAATAAATCGAAAAAAAAAAAACAAATAATAGAAAAACCACAACTCAAACGGTTTTCCCTTGGGAAATATTCACGCAAATATTTTTCAGAGAAATATTTGAAAGTATCTTTCATGCGTTGTTTAATCATTTAATTTGCACATTTTTTATTTCTGCTTTAAAAATTACAAAAAAAAGCTAATTCACAAAAAAAGTCTGATTTGATATATATGAAAGCACATTATATTTGTTTTTATTTTTTTATTTCGCTGTTATTTAAATGAATTTGTTCTTCTGAGAAATGCTTACAAAAATATTTGTTTACTAAAAAATTACTTACTCACGTTTTCAGTTAAAATATTTATTTAGGTTATTGATTTTTATTTGAAATATTGATAAGGAAATATTTTGAAAAAAAAAAATGCATAAAAATGATTTTCTCTGGAGAAAACATATAGAAACAAAATTATAAAAATAAGTAAAGCTATATATAGATAAATCCAAATTTTTTTTTTATTTTCAGTTTGTTATTTGAAATACTTACAAAAAATATAAAATTTAATATGCAAAGCAAATACTTTGCACACCAAACACCACAATCGAAGACCATTTTCGATGTTTTCGAAATTTTGTGGCTGTTTTTAATACAAACTGGAGCTGCAATTAGAAGAATGCAAAAGAGAATAACTCAGTTAGAATATATATAATATATGAAAAACACTAACAATGGTAAAAGTATTTCATTTTAATCATCTTGAGATGTTTCTGCATTCATGTCAAGTGCAACACCGAAAATGCAAAAAATGTTAAAGAGAAAAATAAATATACAAGAAAACTGTGTATGTATGCGTGTATGTGTGTGACAACTTTAGTTGTTATCAACTTAAATGTGGTACGTGTCCGTGCCTAATAAATTAACATGTGAGGCAAGCGAACAAATTTTCATATATGAAGTAAAACAGGAAAGGAAAAAACCTGAGTAAAAATTTAACTTTAGAATACGTTAACAGTTAATATATTTATCAAGTAATGAAGTTGTAAGACTAATCATATATAGTTTCATTGATAGCCAAATACAAATGAAACTCAAATTTCTCTATCCATATTATCTTAGCTTCTGTTTATGCTTCGCCGAGGCATTATACCCTATCGCAACCATTTTTTCAGCAATTAACGTGATTAATTTTTAACGAATTTAACTAGTTTAATTAATTCGTCATTCACTCAATCTCAGACTTCAAGCTCTGGCTGTGACACTCTCATAAACCAAATGAACTTTCTCATTAAAAGCAGCAACTACTTTAGAGCGGTTCTGGCTTAGCTATTGCCCTCTCCCTCTCCCTCTGTGTCTCTCTCTCTCGCTTTCTGTCTACCCACCTCTCTCTGCTCATATAAACACGCTTTGACGCTCATAGGCACTTTTCTTTTCAGCTGCCTGTGTCAGCAGCAGCAGCATGCTTCAGATACCCTATGCTCTAAGCTATGCATAGGCTCACTTGTCTCTCCTAGCTCGTATATGAATACGTACATAAATATTTGTCTATGGGCTAATCAATTGTTTGGGCAGCGTTTGATATTAGCTATTCAGCGTAGCACATACAAAAACAAGTTCTATGAACTATATTCATCTGCTCCAGCGTCCATAGAGTATCTAAGAGCTGCGCTCGTTCGCCTCGAGCACTTTCAACTTGTTATAAACATGTTTTGCTGCTTTACCTAGTTCTATGTTAGCGTTTATGCTGCGCAATTAACGAAAGTTTATTGATCAGGAAAACGCTTTAATTAAATGTGCATAAGCGTGAAGTTAGCTGCGGCTGTGCGTGAAGTTGACAGCGGCAGTGCGTGAAGTTGGCTGCAGCTTTCAATTTATTTGGCTTTAAAGCTAACAAATGCCAGAAAATGTTGCTAATGCACAGATTTTCATGAATTGCACAATGCATAAACGCAGTTTGTATGTGTCTGTGCGAGTGTGTGTGAGCGCACACAAACAATGTCACGAGCCATTGATGCTAGAAAAGTAGAACAGTCGGCGGCTCAGAGGCTGCGGTGGCTTCTGCTGCTGCTGATTTTTCTGTTGTTGCCAACTGGCAAACATTTTGCTTGCCAAGTTTGGCCTAAAAGCAAGTCAGCTCCTTGCTGCCAGCACCTCCTTCTGTTCAGATAGCATAATCCTTTGGCCACACACAGACACACACACACACACATACACACAAAGTGTAATCCTGTACAATCCGAGTGCAGGTACTAAAATGCTTAAAGGTTTTATGCTGCCATACACTCAGAGACAGAGAGAGAGGGAGGGAGAGGCCGAGCCACAGCCCTGATTATGGCCGACAGGCCGACAACCCAACATCCGGCCACCCACTCAACATTTAAGCAAATTTTTCTGTCTGTGGAAAATTTGTTGGCAGCAACAGCAAAAAAACAGGCCAAGTTTTTAATTGCTTTTTTGCCCATTGTTAGGCGTAAGTTGAAAAAACTCTCTCATCTTTATGAATTTACGAATTTAGGTACATGTAAAATGTGACTTCTGATTGACATTGAGAGAACATGGCAAATAATTAATATGAAGCTCAGCAGTATATTTTGCTTAATTAATGATTAAATAACCTAATCTCATTTCCATTTGTCTGCCATTTGCTGTGATAAGAGCACTGGGGCCGCAGAGCTTAAGCACACACAGAAGCCCTCAAAGGGTTTGCCGCACAGTGCACTATGCTGCTCACATATGCCAGGCAAATGGCTAAGTGCTTATCATTAGCACACATACAGGCACGCACAGACACACACACATACACACACATACATACATAGATGTCTCATATTCTTGCAATTAGCTTTGGCGCATAGAAAATTTTAGCACATTTTCCCACAGCTAATCAAAGAGAGAATCCAAAACTCAAATTCCAACTAGAGGCATATTTAAATATCTATTTCTCTCGCTCTCTATCTCCCTCTCTGTCTCTCATCTCTACATCCATCTCTGTTTCTATCCGCCTTGCCAGCTCAAATATCAAAATTGGCATACAGTTTTAATTGAGGTCCTCCGCTCTGCACTCTAATTAAGTCACATTTTGTGCACATATTTCCAGAGTTGTAAGATAACTGTAAATACAAACTATATTTATAATTCACATCTAACTGGAATACAATTCGATTTAGCTGCGTGTGTCTGTAGCCAACAATATGACAGTAAAATTGTTGCATCTAAGCGAATGTTGACTGTACAATGCTCGTTCAAAGCTTAAAGACGTATGAAAACCTCAACTTATAGCTTATGGATCTATAGGAATATATGTTAATACATGCATATAATTTTATGATTTGCATCAAGCTCTCAATATACTATATATATATTATATATGACTAGTTTCGAGTCTATCTCTACACAAGCAGGCAAGCAGACAGCCAACCCGGACATTGCGCACAACCAATATGCTCTCTTTGCACAGCCTGAACGAGCATGAAAATGAATTGCAAATTTGATGGCAAAAATAGGGGAGCTATTGTTGAGCATTTGTCTATGATGTGCGCAATTAAATGCTTGCATGTAATTTAATATTTTTTTATTATTCGTCATAGAAAGTTGTCGTACAATGCACATTTTGGGAGCTGGTGGTGCAGGAGTGTGGTTGGCTTGGAGTGTGATTAAAATTTCTATTACAATGATGCGATGAGATGAGATCGAGAGCTGAGAGACTTGTGCTGGTAATTCATTTGTTGTTGCGCCTCGAAATGGGTTAAAGAAAGTCGTTAGTTGTATTAATTAAAAGGCAAAAGTTAAAAGGTTTTCTACTTCTTCTTCTTCTTCATCATTTTTGTTGTTTTTGCAACATGTGGAAACTTCTTTTACTACTTCTTGCTCTTAGCGCACATAGTACAAGTTTCGAAGTCTAGTTTTAGACGAAAATAAATGATTTCTTTGGACTCTTTTGGACTCGTTTCGTTCTCATTGAAAGCAGAAGAGCAGAAGCGCTCAGTCGCACTTGTCACGTCGCATCGTTCGCTTGCCAAGAATTTAGAAATTGTATTTATTGACAATGCTTTCTATTTTGAAACGAAACTTCAATTCGTTCGGCTTGAAAAATAGAATAACAGAAAAGCGAAGAAAATAAAAACAAACTCTCATGCTCATGAAACCAAAAGTGCTTGCAGCTTCTTTTTCTTTTTCTGCTTTTCCATCGGCTGCTTCTGCGTGAGAAAGACATAGCTGCTTTTCTGCTTCTCTTTGGGTGGCTTGTGCCTTGTGTGGCAATTAAATGATTTACTGGATAATGAGACTTAATTGGGTCAGCAGGGTCTACCCATGATACCTACCTGCCTGCATGGCTTTCTATCACCTCTTCCGTTCCCACACACGAAGCAACTGCTAAAAATCTGCACCGTTAAATGCAGTTGGCTTGGGATAATCCCCACTCCACTCCACTCCACTTCACTACTAATTAACATATATCATACTCAACTACTTCATTTAGTTGGCAATTGCAGGCATGTGGGAACTGTTAGTGCTTTAGAAAAGAACGAAAATCCAGAGCTGTCTCTCTGCACATGCATAACTCTTTGTGAAGGGGAACAGAAAGAAGAGAACTGGGGAGAGCTAATTAAAAGTTTTGCTTTATGCATAGAACTTGTTGTGGAGCATCCAAATGTATATAATTATCTAATATATAAGAGAGTTGTTCATGAATGAAACACTGAATGGAAGACTGATTGATGAACAGACTGAATGACTAAATGACTAACTAAACACATGAATGGTCGACTGGATGATGACACTGACAGACGAACATGCTGACTGAGTGAATTGAGAGCCAATCCGATTGATCTGCTTATTGCCTTACTGATTGATTGAAGATATAAATGATTGGCTGAGTGAAAGACTGCTTAACTAAGTGATTGAATGAAAGATTGACTATAAAAAATTGAACTAAAATCTGATTGATTGACTTGCTGATTGACTGACTTACTGATTGATTGACAGGTCAAATATCTAATGAACTTACTGATTGATTAACCCACTGAATGATTGACTTAGTAATGAGTGACTAAATAACTGACTTTCAATCGGTCACGACTAACGGCCTGACTAATTGACTTTGATTGATTCATTTTATGATGCTTATCAGCTCGAGCCAGCATTGACCGACTGCAGATAAGGCAAGGGCTAAAAAATTACAACAATTCCGCCTGCAATTTGTCATGCATTCATTTCAGCACCACAAACTTATTCAATGTATGCAAAAAGTTTAATATGAATTCTTATCTGGATGGCAGCAAAAATGGAATTAATTTTCATAAATTTCAGGCAAGGCACATTTTGCTTATCTGTGGATCAAAATTTGCTGCAAATATCTTTGACAAAATCCAATTTGTTTTTTATCACATTGAGCCAGGCATAAAATTGACAAAAATATATATAAATAGCTCTGTGCTTGTATGTGTCTGTGTGTGTGTATTTTAGACTCTGAGATGTTTGTTTTAATATGCCAAAGTTGAACCCCAAAATTGATTGCCAGCCCCTGTGTCTCCGCAGAGGCTGTTGCAAGAAATCCCAATTAAAAATACCCAAAACTCAACCAACTGGTATTAAAGTCATTTAAAACAGGCGATTTCGAGGGTTTCATTTATTTATTTTTATTTTTCTCTGGTATTTGTTA